CCCAAGCAGGGCTCTGACTGAGGGAGACCCAACAGCACAAAAACTCACACTCCCAGGGCAGGGCAAGGGTCCTGCAGGCACACAGGGACCTCGGCACTTGGAGCCAAGGGACACCATGGGCCAGGGACTTGGTGCACATGGTAGAGTGCTCATCGCTCACATCCGTCCTCTGCAAGCACTGGAGGCTGATGGAAGGAAATATATATATAATATACGCATATTTCCTGTAATAGGACATAGAAAAAAATATTCTTTATATATATAAAAAATACTTTTATATATTTTTATTTAATTTTGTAATTTTTTTCCTGTAATTTGTATATATGTATGAAAATACATATAAAAATACATATACATACACACTGAGTGTGATACTCTGCACAGATCAGGTCTTAGCCAGTGGGAAGTCCTGCGTATGGCCATCTGCCTTGATGGGAACTATCTGCACACAACCATGTGATGGAAGAAATGGCCCCAAGCCAAGTGACATCCACTCTTCTGTCCTTCCTGTACCCTTCTCCACTCATTTACCACCCCCTGCTGCCATCCAGATTGAGGGTGGAAAGGAGCAGCACTGCTGGGTGCAATACCCGGTGTCTCTGTCACAGCGTGATGGTGATGCAACACCAGGGATCATGGGAGCATGGAGGAAGTACCATGGGGTACCAAGGCACAAGCACTGACACTAGTGGCACCTCACCGTTGCAGGCAGATGGTATGAATGACCCAGGAGTCCTCCCTGGATACTGGGCATGAAAGCACGTCCTCCCGTTTTGCAAGAAAATGGATGTTTAGCAAAATACTGAAGGGGAGTTGTGGCTAGCAGACTGCAAGAGCTGTCTCTGCTGTTGAATGCTCATCTTATTTATAGCAACAAGATCGCTGTTAGTATCAACACTTCCCCTTCTGTCCTATTTATAAATCCCAACTTGCTCCTCCTTGCCACACAGCAGCCTGCTCCATCCCACCAACACCCCCCAGCATGCCCAGTGCCCTGAGAGGCTGGCATTGCACCCTGCCCGCATGGAGGACAGCACCCAGCTCTTCCCTCATGCACCTTCCCTGCAGCTGCCTTCACATTTTCTGTCACACAGACCCTTCAGGAGCATCTTGCCCTGCCTGAGCCATGCCAAGGGTACAACATACAGTAAGTGAGAGGTGCTCCATACATGGAATACGCTGGTGGCTTCTGCAAAGGGTTCCTGGTGAAGCAGAGCCCTGGTCCTGAGCCACCCAAGGCATGTGCCAAGGAGATCAGAGCTCAAGGCCAAGGAGGACCCTGATCCTGCTGTGCAGACTTCTCCCCCCACTGTGCCACCATGCAGCCCTGGCCAGGGAGCAGAGCCTGGTGGCAACACGCCTTGTCCCTAGCTAGGGTGCTCAGTCTCAGCACCTCACTCCCCACCCTGGGATGAAGGTGATTGTAAAGCTCTGCAGTTCTGCTCCTTCACACCAGGGCAGAAGGAGGGATTATATGCATCCCTCTGCTTGCCTTAATTTATGAAAAAGAGGAAAAAACCCCCAACATCCCAGGCAGAGCACACCCAGGAGAAGAGCACCCAGGACCGGCAGTGGCAGTGCAAGTCCAGGAGTGAGCCAAAGGGATTGTCAAGGGACTTGGAGAAAATGCTGCTGAGGCCCACGTCTGGGCCCTGCTAATGCAGACAGTCAGACCAAAAACCTGCTTTGCACTCCTCTGAACCCTGTAAGGACACAGAGAAAAGCAGAAGCCCTATTTGTTCTCTTTGAAAGTCCCCCTACGTCACATATACATTCATCCACCCACATACCAGTGAATAATTTCCCTCCACAGCAGAAGAAAAGAAGTGGTGAGCTTTCTTCTGCTGCTGTCACCTAGTGTCAGGGTGTGCTTTACATTCTTGTGACAAGGGAAAGAAACGACTGGGGATTAGGCAACCAAATCCAGCTCACAAAAGGAACCCTACATTACAAAACTCAGTAGCAGCCAGGGCTGGGGGTGTGTTGAGGTTCCCACTTTATTTCTGGAGTTCCAGAGCTTTTTAAAATCCAGTTCTAAATGGAAACTTGCTTTGTTTTATGAGATGAGCCTGTAAGCACAAGCCTCTAACCTCCAGCAAGGATGAGGAGCCCACAAAGCCCCATCACTGTCCCACGCCTTGGCATGGCGGCAGGAATTAAACACTTGGAAACACTGGGCAGGTGGGATGGCAGGAGCTCATCCAGCCTGTGGGTTTGGTCCCCACAGCCTGTGTGGGAACTTCTAGCTTGTAGAAGAGCTGGAGCCTCGTTAGACATGTTTGGGGTGTCGATCAGCTGAGTGCTACAGGAAACGAGGGTGGGAGCGGCTCTTCCCTCCTGCCAGCAGCGACAGACTGTTTCCCTGGCCCCATTTTTGGCAAGGGGTTGCAGAAATATGAGCTCATACTGTTTTCAGCATCCCCAGGGCACTATTTATTAACTGGACACATGCAGCAAAGCAGATGCAAGCAGTGATCAATAGCAAACAAAGAGTGTGAATACAGCTAAGAGTACAGCAAACGTGGTCACGAAGGACCCAGCTGTGACTTGGACTATGATGTTGCTCTTACAGGACCTCTCAGGTTGGGCTGGTGCAGGTCACCAGGCACATCCCGGGCACAGAGTGCCACAGCCCAAATGAGTAATCGAAGTCATTTCCCAGCAAGGTGCACCCAGGAGGTTCCAACAGGGATCTGGTGTCCACCCCACTTTGATAAGGGCTGTTAAGACCTTTTTCTTTTTTCTACTTTAAGAGTTTTTACCTGTTGTCTGCAAGCTCAAGCAGAATTCGGAGGTGATAAAAATGTGTTGGGCCACCTGAGCATGGCAAGTGCGTATCATGGACGTGGGGACGTTGCAGCTGTGATGATAAACAATGCCCTTAAAAATTTACCAAGGGGCACGGTGGTGATGGAGAGGGATTTGCGGAGGGCATATTTGTGAAGAAGGGCTCTGTCCACCCGCCACAGGATGGTCTTGGGCCAGATATGGCAGAGGGAGCTCCTGGGCCACGTCATGAGTGTTTGACTGGGTGACCACAGAGGCACCTCTTGTTGCCTGCACACCCACGCTGTGGCAAGGCTGTTGGAGCTCTGCCAGGGAGGCTGGCTCCAGGGCAGGGCAGGTTTCCTAAGTTTGCAGACCTTCACATCCAGATGGCCCCTGCCATAAGCAATGGTGTCTACCAGCCTTATCAGTCCTGCCACATCCCTGAATCCATACTGCAGCTGGGCACCAAACCTCACTGTGCTAATGCCACTGAAATAACACCTATTGACTTACCTAGGCCTCCTTTCTGCCCTCGGGAGGAGAGCAGACCTTCTGTCAAGGCTGACCACTGTCATACTTTTCTTGTCTGGAGCCTGACGAGCTAAGAAAGGACATGCTGACGTCTCAGAAGGGGATCCAAGCAGCCCTAATACTAACCTGGCCTTTTGAAGGTTTCCCTTGTTTTCTTCTTTCCATTTCACACTGAGCTGCTAACTTGGCAGGTTCACAGGAGCCGGTGATGGCACTTCGGAAGCTGGCAGGAGCTAGGGAGTGGTTGTTTTCTTACTCAGGGTAACATCAGAGCTATTTCAAAACCAATGACCTGGTTTTCATATTCTGTGTCTAATAGTGCTAAAAAGGGCAATGTTTGTTTTCCTTCATGCTTTCTTACTCCTTTTTCCTCTTTTAACAAATTCCTCTTTTCTCACTTCCCTATGTGCATCCATGTTGCAAGGCCGCTACTCTGGTGGGTTTTGTTCTAGGGCTGTGCTGGGGGCCAGGCGTTATGAGGAATGATGGTGTTAGTGAACATTATCTCGTTGACACCATGGGAAGAACACTGAAAAATTGCTCCCTAGAGCAATTTAGCCAACTTTATGGATGGCATAAATTTCTGGGATCAGGAGATGGGCTTTGGGGCAAGAAGCAAGTACTGTGAGCAGCTAGGACAAGCACTGTGAGAACGTGCTCGTGAAGAACAGGTTCTCTATCACATTCTGAAACACTGGTGTAACTGAGGACAGCAAGTGCTTGTGGAGTCTGGATGATGTGCTGGGAGTCTTTCCCTGTGTGCCGGTAAGAAAATGTGCAGCCACCTCCCCAGCCCCGGGGTCAGAGCCCCCACCCACGGCATAACATTCTGGACTCCCTCCCTGTGCAGATATGACTCCAAGACCACGTCCTTTGTCCTTGCCCTACACGTTGTGCAAGAGCCAGTCTGCTGGTTGCCACACCAGCAGGCTGGACTTCACCATGCAGTGTGAGCCACCCTCTCTGCTTCTCTCCAAGATGGGACTGCAGCTCTCCTAGGATGTTGGTCACCCATGCTGTGATGTTGGAAACCCTTGCTTGTTGGAAACCCTCAGGAGGAAAACTTATATTAATTCACTACATGAAACACTTAATTTCCTTGATGAGTCATTTAAATGTAAAGCGAGTAGTTATAAACTTTTTTTCCGTGTATCTAGAACGCTGTGCTAGTTAATTAATAGAAATGGTCCTTTTGTTACTTTTGATTCGAATTTCCATCCAAATACAGCTCAACACAGGAGCTGAAAAAACTCACATCTAGCAAGAACTAAATGCAGTGCTTCAGATTTTCCAATGTTACATAGATATAATCATGTAAGTAGAGAATCCGGATAAACACTACATGAAGCTTTGCAGCAGTTCAGCTGAATGCATAGCGATACAGTGCAAGTTCCCTCTGTGCTGACTTCCACATTTAGTCCAAAAGCTATGTTCATCAGAAACCTACTTATTTTTGTAAGAACACGTGAGCACCCGTCCCGAATCAGACCACACACCTGGGGTGCTCTGCCTTGGCCCACGCTACCTGCTGTGGCAGGGTCATGCTCTCAGGCTCTGCCTGCAGTGGAATGTCTGTGGGAAGGGTACATCCCCCTGGGGCCACCATCTTCTGCAGCCACTTTCTCTAGGGTTCGAGGGCTCCCTTCCCTGCAGCTGCCATGCACCAGGTGGACACAGGAGTGCTTTTTGTCTTGCAGAAAATGTTGCGTGACTGCTGCCTCTGGCTGCCGGCAGTGACCTGGGTGCTGCTGCTGGTGACGACAGGTGAGCCTGACCTGCCCTTCCTCACTGCCTTCCTCTGGCACCTTATGTGGGCAGTGAAATGGGGGAACCCAAATGCTGCCCACAGCGGTGGGAATATGGCATTGAGAGGTGTGTGAGGGCCAGATCCTGCGTCTCCCGGGATCTGGAGAGAACTCAAGCCAGCACAACTGAGAGACAGCATGGGTTTTATAGGCAGGGCAGGCTCAGGACAGCATGGGTGCTCGGTGCTGCACATCAGAGCACCCTGCGGCTGCTGCTGCTGCAGACCAGCCTCCCCCAAGTGCCCCCCACACCAGCTGCGTCTTCTTTCCATTTCAGCCTTTGCCATGGAGTGCCCCAAGATCAAGGTGGGGACATGCAAGGACTGCATCCAGTCTGGTCCTGGCTGCGCCTGGTGCAAGATGCCGGTAGGTCCCTGTAGCAGTCAGCTAACAGGCAGCGGGACGGTCACTCTGTCTACCCAGTTCTGCCTGTGGTGGAGGGGGGGAGATTGTGTCGTGGGAGTATTTCATGTCCTGCACGGTGAATGGAGCCAGGCGGGATCTGACAGACAGCGCCCTTCAACCTTCTTTTCTCCATCAATACCCTGGAGACCTGGTTTGGGAGCTGGGTCATCTTGTAACGAGCCCGTTCACCTCCCGCTCCTCTGATTTTTTCCTGCTG